TTAATGATTTAATTCTAAGGAATACTCCGTACAATAAAGTAAAAGAAGATGCAAGATAGTGGTTGAAACTTGAAAGTAAGTACGTGAAAAGTTGAAATACTTGTGCCCGGTTCAATATGAGGTTAAAGGAATCGTCTTCTTTTTTAAGGTGTACATCAATCAAAATAAACTTTATCGTTAAAACTTACTCCCGGTTTTATTTAATCTTCACACTTTGACTTCACACAAAATATCCCGGTTTTATTTAATCTTCACACTTTGACTTCACACAAAATAAGGAAAGAAATTTGACTTTACTGTAGAGTACATTGTTGAGACACTGATTGACACTGTTGAGACACTGTTTTGATGTAGATTTCTTTGCCAAAAAAGGAAATAAGGAAATGTGAAGTTTATTTTAGACCATCCCAAAAAGGAAAGTGTGAAGTTTATTAAAAATCGGAGGGAGTAAAATATTTGTTGATACATACTCCCTCCGTCCCAATTTGTTTTGCAAAGTCAACATTTTTTTGTCAACTAATAGTAAAAGTCAACCCTCATTACGGATAATTAACTCAGTTTTTAATAATTAAAATTTACATATTCATAAACTACATTAAAATCTCTTCAAAGTTATTAACTTCAAATTAGAATATAATTAAAAATTGGCATCCTAATTAAGCGAACAAAACAAAACTGTTTAACCAAGAAAAGTCAAGTTTGGAAATCAATTTGGAACGGAGGTATTATGAAGTAGGGGTGTGCATCGGTTCAAAACCAGACCGAACCGAACCGGACTAAACGGGAACCGGATTTGCAAGAAAATAGAAATCGAAAATCGGACCGGATATATTCTGGTTTTGATCCGGAACTGATCCGGTTTTACCGGTTCAAAATCGGAACCGGACCGGAAGAACCGGTTTCTACATTATTAAATCCATATACTTAAAAATACAACTAATTTGTTTAATAAATTTGGGGGTATTCGTTACTAATATTATTATTATTATTATTATTATTTATATACTTTTATTAGTCTTATAGAGTAAAGACTGAAGCAAATTCAGTGTAGAATAGTAAATATTAGTTTAAAAAGATACGAGTAGTAAATATTAGTTAATTCTATTATCAAGAAAATAAAAATAAATAGATGAATAAAACATTAGAATAATATACACTACATATTAAAAGGACTAATATTTACAGAGTATATTTTTATAACTATTACGGGTATTATTTTTATTATTTTATAACTATTTTATATTAATACTATTAATTAATACTCTCTCCATCCCGATGGACTTTGTCAGGTGCAAAGTACGTGAGATATAAGAATACTAAAAGCTGTGTGGTTGAAATTTATGCAGGGGAGAGAGAAATATGTAGAACTCAATGGCAAAGTTTTTTGGGACAACAAAAAAGGGAAAGTTAGCAAAGACCAATGGAACCGAGGGGATATATTTAAAAATATAGCAAAATCGGTTTAATCCGATTCAAACTAGAAGAATTTGGTTTTTAACCGAAACCGGACCGGAAACCGGATTTACAATATTTGAAAACTGAAAACAAGATCGGATATCAACCGGGTGGGGTCGGTTCCAATTTTTCCAACCCCTAATATGAAGTACAAGTATATTGTTAAGACTTAAATCTAAGTTTCACACTGCAAAGTAATATGAAGTAATTCAGATTTTAATATAGCATTATTATTTCACAATTTTTGTAAGAGAATTCCACATTAATGCAAGTGGATAAGTAAAACGAGAAGTGACATTTTTGGTTGGTGTTTGAAATATTCCGGCCGGCGTGCAGGTGACGAATCAGGTGTTCAGATATGCGAAGAAGGCAGGGGCGAGCTACATCAACAAGCCCAAAATGCGGCACTACGTCCACTGCTACGCGCTGCACTGCCTGGACGAGGACGCCTCCAACGCGCTGCGGAGGGCCTACAAGGAGAGGGGCGAGAACGTCGGCGCGTGGCGGCAGGCCTGCTACAAGCCCCTCGTCGCCATCGCCGCCCTCCAGGCTTGGGACATCGACGCCATCTTCAACGCCCACCCCCGCCTCTCCATCTGGTACGTCCCCACCAAGCTCCGCCAGCTCTGCCACGCCGAACGCAGCCAGGCTTCGTCGTCCACCTCGCTCTCCGGCGCCGGCGCCGCTTGCTCCCACCTCCCTCTCTTTTAATTCACTTTCGACATCTTCTTTTACTACTTTTTTCTCCTGCTTAATGATGGACGTTGATGGTGATGTATTATTGTAATGTTCTCCTAATTTCAATTACTTGTCTTGATCTATTTTGATACATGGTGGATAGGCTGCATGATCTGGAATCTGAATGAATTCATCTAAATTAGGACTATCCAAACCAATTTTAATAAAGTAATTAGGGTAAAAAAAGAAAAGGAAAGAGAAATCTTAGAAAAAGTAAACATATAAAGTAAAAGTAATTAAAGAGATACAAGTTGGGGAAGAGTAAATTATGAAACTTGATATGTAATCAGTAGGAAAGAGAAAATTGAGTAACGATGTTTTTACAATTCGTCCTAGACCAGACTAGATCAGACCAGACCAGACCATACTTGGATAGTTATAAAAATACAAAGAAATCAGACAAGACCAGACCACACCAGAAAATTACAGTCCAAGTAAAAACATCCTAAAGACGTAATTAAGAGGGTAATTGTTTTCTTAAATGAAATGGAAACCTTTATATGAGACATACAAATATGGAAAGTTAGAACCCGTAAACGAGACGAAGGGAGTAAGTTATTTTAAAAAATGTGCATAAAAACTATCCACGAACTGACACCAAATTATGTTGTAGTCAATGAAGATGAATTGAACCAGGTCCTCTATTCCCCAAGAGTACAGTGAGTCTTTCATCTTTGGATAATTGTGCAAATTTAGGCACTTCATTCTAATTTTCAGACTCCCGATCAAACGGTAGTTTTGTCCGTGTAATTTGAAAGTCGGAAGAGGTTTACATACTAATTTTGTGACTAACATCAATCTTTCCTCTCATTGATGTGAATGGAAATATATTATATGCTTGTATGTTATTAAAAAAACAGGTGCTCCTGCCATCATTATCGTATAATAGATCACATTTGTGGGGGTCTCTTGTTCGCCAAAAGTTTTATTTTACCTTAGGCACAACATAAGAAGTATTTCAAGTTTTTCAATTTACAGTAGGACCTTAACATTTCATCGTACTAAAAAACAGCTCCACAACGTTGAAACTTGTGATGTAGATGTTCGATAATCAAATATGGAATGTCTAATTAAACACCCCCGAATTGTTACGGATAATCATCAAATTTTGAAATAGAGGTATAATACTTGAGATGTATATGTGTCATTAATATGAAAAAATGTCATAAGAAATAGTAGGATTAATAGAAGAGTGAAGGTGCTCACTGACTTATATATGAGCAGAAGCACCTGTAAGCTTGTTTGTTATAACCCGATGATTCACAACATTTCTTAAATTTGTAGTGTGGCAAGAAGACATTGTTGGATGACGTAGTTTTTAGTTTACAATTATTTTGCAAATTTAATGTGATTTATGTGTCAATTACATGACACAAGTAAGTACAATTCACGTCACATGAAATTTAAATATTAATATTGAGAGTATGTACCGTATACTACTATTTAGTACTAGTGAGAAAGTATTCAACATTGTACATTAGTATTCTGTCAATTCCACTCATGTAAGCCGAGTTCTTAGATATGTTTCCAACCTTGCACGCCTTTTTTTTTCATATGTTCCAATTCTTGCAAATAACATTGAAATTAAATTAGAGAACATTTTTTTCAAATAAATGAATACTTATGATATATCATTTTTTGGTAAACACGAGTCGATGTATGAAAATCAAATGATAGTGAGCACTAAAATTTAAGATTAATAAAATATGGTATACATAAAATAATAAATTGCGGCTAAAAAAATTTGTATGATTTCTTTAAATATTTCAATACTTATTGATGTGAGTGATTAGTGAATTTTACACATAGATTAAATTTTAAATGAGTTTACGAGATTTAAAACATAGTATTGGTTTTAAAATTCTATTAATAATTTTAAAATTTACTTTTGAGCATGAAGCTATTAAGAATCTATTTGGTAATTAATATTTTTAGTTTATCAATCTTATCAGTAATTTTTGTTTATCAAACTCACACCTTTGATATTTGCGCGTTGAGTTATACATTTCCGTCTCACAAAAACTTGACCAAAGTTGACTTGCACGCAGAATAATAAAGTAAAAAATGTGTGATTGAGATTTGTGCAGATGAGAGAGATTGTTTTAACCATATATGTGCTACATTAAATGGAAATGACAAAGTTTTTTTACACGAATTAAAACGAAAATTTGACCACGGGTTGTGGGACAGATGAAGTATAACCAATATAAGTGAGTTTTAAATTACTTTTCTGATTGAATTAGTTGAAGTTACTGTAAAAATTATCGTAACTATTTTCCATAAGATTTTATCTTTAGTTATCACTATTTTGTTTATATAACATATCCACAAATCAATAAATTAGTGAAGTCGGCTGGTTCAACTAGAATTTGATCAATTTCAATCGATTCAAGCCATTTAACCGTTTCAATGTTACCCAATAATGGTTACTAAAATATACTTCCTATGTCCTTTAATTTTTGACCAAGTTTGACTGGCACGAGAAAAGATAAACTAAAATATGTGCAATTAAAGTTTGTGCAGGGGAGAAAGAAAAATGTTTGTGGTACAAAGTTTAAGTTATTGAATAAATTTTTTTCCCATAAGTTCTTTAATTGAATGAAAAAATTACACAATTTGTGGTACAAAAAAAGAAAAGTTGACAATTTTTTAAGGTATGAGGAGCACAATTTAAAATTTGCCAAATTAAATGATTTTAAGTTATCGGCCAAAATTCATTCAAAAAAAAGTTATCGGCCCAAAACTTTTAAAAACAAAATTATTGGGCCAAACCTTTAAAAACAAAATTATTGGCCCAATATGTTTGATCCGGTCCAATTAGAAAATCACGTGCCCAGAAGGTCGGACGCTATATTGCTCTCCGTTTCCAGCTCCTCTTCCCCTTAGGTCGGACGCTGCCTACGCCGCGCCGTTCTTCTAATATCCCGACCGAGGTTAGTCGATTATCACTAAACTGTCTTCTTATTTTATTGCATCTTGTTTTGTTTGTTCGTGCATATCTTTTTATATCTTTTCAGCAGCGAATAGATCAAGCTTAGAAGGTGTTGTTGAAGTTCGTTCTTTATCTGTTATTTCAGTTAAAAGATGTATAATTTTCTAAATTAAGGACTAACGAGTTGTAATAAGCTGTAATTTAATATATATAGAGATATTTTGCTATCGTGCTTCACTTTTTAGTGCACACCTGGAGTTTTGAATGAAAAGATACTTCTGTAATGAAAGATATGATAAATCTAGCTGGAATGGGGAATGGAAAGAAAATAGAAAAGTAGAGAACTGAGAAGACGTGCTGAAAAAATATAAAATCAAGAGGCCAAAACTGGTATGAAGCCTTGCTATTTTTACATTGTAATGAGATTACAAAAGCAACGTTAAAGATGTGCTGAAAAAATATAAAATCAAGAGGCCAAAACTCAGCCACACATGAAGTGTTCCCCTAGCCTGCTAGTAAGCCATCCTTTGAACAAAAACCCCACTGTATATAATTGCTAGAACTGACAGCTAATTTTTTATAAAATAAAATGAAAGTGATGTGAACAAATCTAATTACTTCTTAGGATTCAGTATAGCTTTCTTAACCTGTTTGAAGCACTTTAGTCCAGTATTCTATCATCATGCTATTTAAAGAGGATTGTGTAGAATCTGCAACTCTTGGTTGTTGATCTCAGAAAAGGTTCTCATTGTAGTTTTAAGGCCTCCCTTGTCAATCACTTAATTGTGGTATGCTGTTGAAAGTTGGAACATGGTTTGACCGCTATATATGAGCTTGGGAGTGAGTTTCTCCCATCCTCAACTATTGATTATCCACACCGACCATTTCCATTTTAGTTTTCGGCAAAATAACGCACAAGTATACTATTATTGGGTCATCCCAGTCACCTATTCTATGTTTTGCTACCGTCTCTACTAAAACAGTTTCCTGATCTCTATTTAAAGATGTTCAAAGCACAAAGCTAATTAATGGACATATATCATATCAAGGTGATGTGCAAATTGTAAATTTCATTTTGAGTAATCCTAGAACCCTATTAAATGTTGTTTTGCTCCCAAAATTTCAGGCCAGATGTGTTATCATGTCTTTCATAACATCTACCACTAGTAAGTCCATTAAACATTGCAGAATACCAAAACTAGACCATATTATTCAAGATCTTACATAGAAAATATAAATGTACTGTTTATTCACTTATAAATTATACTACGTAATGCTTTTGATTTATCACTTAGATAAAGGTGGTAATTTCTTAACCTTTGTTTGAATATTCTTTGCTAAAGAGACTCAAAATTTAAGAAATGGAATGATAAAATTAAGTTAAATAAAACTTATCCAATGCCAAAGGCTGAATTTAAAAAAGCTAAAGAAATATATAAGTCGAGAAAAATGTAAATAATAAAGATAATCATAAAAAAATACATAAGAATGAATCTTCAAAAAGAAAAAGGAAAACGGAAATATGACTTATGAAGTAGAATGTGCTTACCTGCACGAAGTTACCAAATGTCATCTCTAATTTTTGCAAGGGAAAAGACAAACAGTGTACATTTGTTTTTTGCTACAACTTGCATAATTGTTTCTGTCTTATTTTTTCTGAACCGGAATATTGTTTTTAAATGTATTAAAATCTTGTTAGCGTTTCTTTTATACTTCTAGAGTTTTTATAATCACTCGGAAACTGCTTATTCGGCCCATTTGTTCAAATCGCTTCCAAATTGGCATTTTCAATTTAGCTGATCAATCAATTGGTTTATGGCCGTAATGATTGAAGGATATTGAGATGGAGAATCCTGAAGAAGAGTCTGAATATGAATCTGATTCAGAAGAGGACGAAGAGCAAGTGGTGAAGTTGGATGAACCTTCAAAGGATGCCATTTATAACAAGAATGGATTACTAGACAAACTTGGAGACATCAGCTGGCCTGAAAAAGCAGACTGGATACACAGGCTCTCATTTGACATAGATAGAGAGGGAGAAGAAGTGGATGTGAATGATGACCTGGCACGAGAGCTCTCATTCTACACACAGGCCTTGCAAGGAACACGGGAAGCCTATCTCAAGTTTCAATCTGCTGGGCTTCCGTTCTTGAGGCCCTCTGATTACTATGCTGAAATGGTGAAGTCTGATGTCCATATGGAGAAAGTCAAGGGCCGCCTATTGGCAGAAAAGAAGAATATCGAGGAAGCCGAGGAAAGGAGGAAGGCTAGGGAAAATAAGAAAATAGCTAAAGAAATGCAGGCTCAGAAACTGAAAGAAAGGGCTCAGCAGAAGAAACATGATATTGAATCTGTTAAGCAGTGGAGAAAGCAAAGGCAGCAGAGTGGGTTCGACAAAGATGCGAAAGCTGAACTTGATTTGGACTTTGATGATGGTAGTGGTAAGGTTTTCCAACGATCGGGTAAAACGAGGCCAGGGGTAGCCCCTGGAGACCGTTCGGGTGGGAAGAGCAGATTTGGTGGTGGGATCAACAAAAAAGTGGGATTTGATAAAAAACCGAAGGGTAGGGAATTTAAGAACTCCAAATTTGGTTTTGGTGGGCAGAAAGGTAGGAAGAAGCAGAACACTGCTGACTCTACAAACGATTTTCGAGCTTTCAACAAAAATAGGGATTCCTCTGCTGGTAAAAGGAGAAGGGTGAAGCCGTGAAGTGATCAATTTCATTTTGTACCATTTTTTTTAAGTTTGTGTTAGGATTGTTGTCATATTTTGCATCTGAGCCCCCCCCCCCCCCCCATTTTGTACTCTTATCTATTTAAATTTTGCTATTGATCTACTTTGTTCCTTTTGAATCTTGAATACTGTTTGTACACAATTCTTTTTTGAGTTATTATTACAAGAGTACGGTTAGACTTGAAATTGTCAAATTTTCCATTGATGAGTTGTAGCCTTGTTACCTTGTAGGCTTGTAGCTCGAATCAGTCGTGTAATCGAGTAAAAGATATGAATACAAATCTTCAAAAGAAGATCGATACCAAGTCTAATATTAATCGAGTTTAAAAAAAAATTATCATCAAAACATGTCTCTATTCATATCAAAAGATTCAGAATCATTATATTAAACAAAGAAAATAAAACTGACACCAACTGAAATTTCAACAACTACGACTGTAACCCTATGGTGAGACTTTGAGACGGTCACCCCTGAGATAGCAACACGAATCGCTAACCATGTAGTGGGCTTGACACAGCCAAACTTGTTCCCATAGATCCAACCATACCCAATGACATAAAGAGAGACAAAAAACTCAAACAAACTGTCAAAACCAACAACAAAAGTGGACATAAGAAAACAAATAACAAACAGATAAAAACTACAAGAAAAACTCTCACAAACTCTAGCACCTCATACATTCCATGGTGGTAGTTCAGGAGGAGGTCGTACCACCGGTACCATGCTAATTGATCCTCCGTGACCTTTGGCTGCCAAAGACCATTCATCAATTATCCGTCTCTGCATTACCAAACTCATCTCTGCTCCGTGCGACCAGAGTAAACGGATAGGCGGTGCCGCTCTTCTCCAATGACGACAGCCACGCCGCATCCTCGAACCTTGACCACAGCGCCGATCTCCTCGAGCCATGACAGCAAATCCGCCCTCCTCCACCGATCTCCGCCCTCCGCGTCTGACCTGGACTCCAGCCGAGCACCAGCGACCAAGGGAATACAAAGCCGATCTTCGACAAAGTCGAAATTGGAAAAAGACTCCAGTGGTCGACATAGTCGAAGCCCTAGAGAGAAAACACGCTTCCGTTCATAGCAGTGCTCGATCACTCCCCAAACGAGATCAAGCAAATATCATCTTCAGGATGCCTTTTGCTCGGCGGCCGTAGGATCGCTTATGCTTAGTTGAAATAACTTTTTATAACATGGTGGATTAATCGAGTTTAAAATTTGAAACATAGTATTTTAGTTTAAATTTTAAGCCTTAAAGCTTTAAAAGTTTATCATGGCTATAATAGGGGTGGACACATCCGAGTTTGGTCTCGGACTTGTTGGTCCTGGAAAAAATATGGGACCCGAGGGTTAAATGTCTATTTATGATTCCGGGCTAGTCCTTTTTTTTTAAAGTTTTTGTGAAAAAATTATACTCCGTCCATCACATTAAATTTGGTCAAAGTTGGGATTTGTGAAGGAAAAAGAGAAATAATTTTTGGTCACATAGTTGTCAATTTAAACGGAAATGATAATATTTGTGAGACGCAAAACAAGAATTTTGGCCAAGTTTTATGTGAGGGAGTAGTATATTTTCTAGGCGTAACCAAAAATTTATATACTCCAAGTGTTTGAAATGGGATGTTACCCACAAACCGCGATGTCCAAATAGCTTAACGTCCAAACTCTTTTTGTAATTCATCACTCAAACCTACCAAATAGCAAAACTACCAAACTCTTTTTGTAACTCGTCACTCAATTCGCCAGGCAACTTAACTCGCAAAACCAGCTATCCACAGTTCACTAACTTAACCCACTAATTGGCAAACACTGATTACCAAACACCCCATAACATAAGTATGCATGCATGTACGCAAACCACCTAGCCTGGAGTACAAATGCACAATACAATTAGCAGTGTTTGGTTGAAGGTAATATAAGATACAGGTCGGAATCTGAAGGCAACTGTACTCGCAAAACCAGCTATCCACAGTTCACATGACCGACTATCTGGTACCCACTGAACCCTTAGGTTTTCTTAGATGAAATGATTGCCTCTATATTACTATTAGAGTTTTCATTTCAAAAAATATGACAACTTTTACATTTTCCAAAAATATGTCCTCATTAAAACACTACACTCCAGCCTATTTCCGTCTTCCCATCTTCCCCCAGCGACATCGTCCCATCTTCTTCGCTCCCGTCGAAGCATCATCGAACCAAGAGGCGAAGCATCCAGCGAACTCGGAACCAGAGGCGAGGCATCCATGTCCTTGCAACGCCACCATATCCATTAGGCCAGCCAAAACGTGAGTCGTCATGACCTCGTCCCCAACGCTCCATTCCATTCCAGAAGCTGGAAGAACAGATTTGGTCTGCTTTCCAGCGTATTCATTTTGATTTCCATTCGATTCGTTTCTGTTCTCGTTTGATTCGTTCTTCAATGGTCAACATTGGATACTATAAACATATAGTGCCATTATTTCATCAAAAGATATGCAAGCATTTGAGTAGACATCATGCATAAGAACATAGAATTAAATTCTATTTTTAAGATCATTCAAGTATAACAATAGCTTGAAGATAGTACCTCAATAATTGAGTTAGCAGGAGTCCAAAAGCTATTCAGGGGAAATGATGCTAACTAAATTAAACAAAAAAGTTACTTCAATAACTGAGTTAACAGGAGTCCAAAAGTTATTCAGGGGAAATGATGCTAACTAAATTAAACAAAAAAGGTACACTTTAATAGCCTTAGATATAGTTAGTTTATTTAACAAAAAGAAACAACGAACCAACTTCAACCTGCTTACTTGAGAAACCAACTTATGAATGAATGGAATTGTCACTTTATCCAGTATTCCAGTTGGAAGACCATACTCTGCTTATGCTATTTGAAAGAAAAGAAATGAAGTAAGGCACTAAAATTAAGAGAGTAAAAGGATCTAAAATTTATATTCTATAACCAAATTTATTACACATAACTTTGTCATTTTTACAATAACTTTAGCTTTGTTCATTTTTTCAATAACTATGAAAAATGATAAAGTAAGGGTGCATTCGGTAACGTTTCTGTTTTTCGGTTTCTGTTTTTTTTTTCTTTAGAAAAAAAAAACCAAAACACTTTTGGTAAAAAGTTGTTTTTGTTTCCAAAATCATAATCTTTGTAAGTGTTTTTAGAAAACGAAAACATAATTATGAAATCCGCAAAACATAGTTTCTATACATTTGTTATCATTTATCTTCATTACCCAACTACCGGGAAACACCCCGGACACAACCTTCAATACCCAACTACCGGGACACCACCGGACACAACCGGCCACCACCGGACCACCAACGGCCACCACTGGACCACCACCGGACCACCACCGGCCACCTCCGGACCACCTCCGGACCACCACCGGACACCACTGGACACCACCAGACCACCACCGGCCACCACCGGCCACCACCGGACCACCACCAGACACCACCAGACCACCACCAGACCACCACCGGCCACCACTGGACCACCACTGGACCACCAACGGCTACCACCGGACCACCAACGGCCATCACCAGCCACCATCAGACCGCTTCTGGCCACTCCCGAGACCATCATCAGACTATCATGGATTACGAAAATAATTATTTGTTTCTTGGAATGACAAAACTGAAAATGAATTAGCACTAAAACAAAACGATTTCAAAAAACTGAGAATAGAAAACTAAAAACAGTTTTTTGTTTTTAAAAAACCAAAAACAGAAAACTCAAAACTATACCGAACGAGCCCTAAATTATGGGTTTTCAGAAAGAATGAGAAAGCAGGAGATCTTTAGCCTCTAATTTTTGAACTGCATGTACAAAACTTTACAGCCGATCAAGCAATTGGAAAGTAAATGAAAAATAAGAAAGAATCACAGCATAAACTCTTTAGCCATTCTTAGAAATTCACTTTGGAGACTGCTTCTCTTTTCAAAGCCTAGAATCATAGAAATGTTATAAGCAATGAAAGCAACTAATCATAAAGAGAAAGACCTTATCACTGAACAGAAAATCCATAGTTTCAATCATGACATAAGTATTCTTAGTTCTTAATTAAAATTTAATTGTTTTCTAATCATTTTGAAACTAAACCATGTTCCAGTATTAATAATAAACATAATAAAGACCCTCATGATGGACAAATCAAAAGTCCTTATACTTAATAGCGATACAAATTGATCTAGACCATTCATTTAAAACTAAATATCACCGTCAGATCTTTTTCCTGCTTTCTTTGGTTCCGGCTGTGCATCCCTTTGAATTTCTCCATCAAGATTTCCATTAAGCTTTCTCCTGCGACTTAAATTTCTTTCCTTATCCATCTCTTTCCCGATTGATTTTCTCTGCCTCTTCAAAGAAAAGTATCCGCTGTTTTTTACAAAAATGAAGCAGAGATGCCTTCTAGGAGCCGACCTGTTTCATCAATTGGGCACAGCACCACTCGTCTTTCTTCACTCACAATTCACAAGAATCTGTAAGTTTTTCATTTGATATATTATTCCTTAGGAGTTCCATGTTCACACGACTTTTTGATTTCAAACACTAAAAATTTATCTCCTTAATCATTTACTTTTGGTTGGTTCATTCTCACTTTGATCTTATCACCTTCAAATGACCAGAAGCAGGTTCGTACACAATTCCTACACTTTGATCTTTCATTCTTCTTTAACAAACTAAATTGTTTTTGAGTATAAACTCTATTATGTTGCCAAATATCTCTTTTATTTCAAAAGCATGGAACTAGAAAATGCCTCAACTATTTCACCCTACTTGAAATGTATAGCATGGTGTAAATAGTGGTAGTAATTTCACTACTAATTTAGATGTTTCTTATATGTATAATATCATATTGATCTTACTTGAAATGTATAGTATGGTGTAAATATTTTGATAAATCTTTTCTTCCACGGTGGAATTGTGGAAACTAAAACCATGTTAACTATAATGCCTTGTGTTTTAATTGAGCTTCTAGCTGCAATGTTTGGATTGAGCATAGCCAAAGATTGGCTATTTGTTTTAGTTGAGAAAATCCTTATACTTAATAGCGATACAAATTGATCTAGACCATTCATTTAAAACTAAATATCACCGTCAGATCTTTTTCCTGCTTTCTTTGGTTCCGGCTGTGCATCCCTTTGAATTTCTCCATCAAGATTTCCATTAAGCTTTCTCCTGCGACTTAAATTTCT